GCCAGTAATGTTGGAGGTTTCTGACCTTTTTGAAGCTTTTTAGTGACTTCTGTCATCAGTAGGATAAAGTTCATATTCCTTAGACAGCCATTCAAAACCTCTGTAGCATGGGCCCAAAACTCCCTTGATCTGCATCGTGGGATATGAACCCTCATTTGATTGTCAAATGTCTGAAGTTGTCCTAGGAGCCCTGGTGGTGCAGTGGTTAAGCATTCAGTTGCTGACCAAAAGGTTGGCAGTTTGAGTCCACCAGCTGCTCCTTGGCAACCCTATGGGCAGTTCTACTCTGTCCTATAGGGTCATTATGAGTCAGACTTGACTCCACGGCAATGGGTTTGGTTTTTGAAATTATTCTAATTCTTTTTCTTTTTCCTATAATACCCTTACCCTTGCTCAGCCTCCTGAATTACTCTTCATCCTAAAGCCCAGTTAAGATCTTGTCTCTTCATTGAAGCCTTGTATGATTATTTCTATTAGAAACCGTCATCTTTCTTTTCTTTGAATTCTGGTAGGTAGAATGGTGTGGAGTGAAAACATGAACTTTAGATTCAAAAATACGTGACTGTGAATCCTGGTTCCACCTTTTAACGGTTCTGAGATAAGGCACAAGTTAATTGACTTTTTGGAGTTTGTTTTCTCATTTGCAAAGTAAAGATAATGGCACCTACTACTGCAAAGGTTATTTGAAGATTAGATAAGGTGCAAACATAATGGTCCCCAGCACAGAGTAGCCTCCTTCCTCTTCTGTTTTGTAGCTCAGTGGTCCTCAGAGGGATTGTGCTTGGTGCAAAGGCGCGCATCAAAATTTCCTGCAGAGTCTTTAACCCAACAGAGGGAGAAGGGAGGGGCAATGGATTTCTAAAGGGAATAAAGCTGTGATGCTGTTCACACCCATCTCTTTGCTCTCATTCAGACAGCATGGAGGAAGTATAACTCCTTAAATCGTGAGTCTTGTATCGAAAGCCTTGGGTAATCCATTCCCTGCCCAGGTAATATAGACATAGGTGAGTCAGGTCCCCTATGAGGTGGACACTCTCCTCCCTTTCCTGTTTCCTCCACCCTCACAGCTCAAGTCACAATGCTGTGGTCTGGGCCCAGCTCCTGGGCCTCTCATATTGGTTTAAGAAGGCAAGTCTGGGAAGAGCAGGCCGAGAAGGAAGTCAGATGCTAACTGGCATGGATGGAATGAGACAGGCGGGGCTGCTATTGTTCAAAGGCCACAACTCTGGGTGTGTTTTATGACTGTTCTTGTGTTTAGAATCTCCTCCCCTTTGTGACCATTCCAGGGAAACTCACTCCTCCTACTTCCTTCTCATTACACTGTCTTTACCTAGTGTATCTCTTTTATAGCCAGAGAATGGCTATGCATATATTGAAATGTCAGTGAAAATAATGTTTCATCTTTCTTCCTAAAAGAGATTGAGGTTCATAAAACTGAGCTGGAGGGCTGTACAATTATGATGTGGTGTAGGGAACAGGTGCATAAGTCAAAGGCAAGACAGAAAGCAAAATTCTGGATGTTTGTAGAATCTTGAATGTGGAGGTGGCAAAAATAATTTTGGAAGGTGGATTTCATTCAGAAAGCTTAGGGTGTCCTCTGCCCAGATTTAGTTATTAAAATTTACTTGGGTGTAGGATGAGGTTAAATTATGGAGTTGTGCAGCTTTGGGGAAATTACTTAACCTGTATCTCTAAAAACGGTGATGATAACACACAGGATTTTCTGTGAAGATGGTAGAAAGTGCTTATGATAGCGCATGGCACATTGTGAGTGCGAGTAAGTGTGAGCTAGGTAATTATGGGAATAGGCAAAGGTACCACTCTGGTCATCTAGGGTAGGGAGGTATTTTCCAGGCAAGGTCCTGGCAGGCCAGCTGGAGATGATAATGGTAAGGGGAGGCTTAACTTCCAGGGGTGGAAGGATTGGGGAGCAGTAACTCATGAACAACCATCTGTGAAAATGCCTTAACCTGAAAGCAGGAATACCCAGAGAGTGTGTGGCTTCTGTCACAGTTATAGATCCCTGGGGGTGTGGGAATGTGTCTGAGAGTTAAATGGATTTGCTGAAAGCCAAGCCTAGAAACAAGCTTTAGCTGTTGTCTTGCAAAGAGCATTCATCTCGCTAAAGGAATTCCCCATTGTGGCCCAGGCATTATTTTTGTTTCTGTACTATCCTTATTTATAAGGTATAAAGAGAAAGACTGAAGAAAGGTGAAATAAGGAAATGAATGTATAAATTTAACGGACAGAACTGGGACTAATATGTATACGTTAAGAGGAAGTATGTATAAATTTTATGTGAACATGAAAGGACTTTTTTTTTTTTAACAGACCTCTTCATATAAATGGAACCTTGGTGGTGCAGTGGTTAAGAGCTTGGCAGCTAACCACCAGCTGCTCCTTGGAAACCCTCTGGGGCAGTTCTACTCTGTCGTATAGGGTTGCTATGAGTCGGAATCGACTTGACGGCAATAGGTTTTCTTCATATAAATATAGTGGACTGTCTTGAGTGGATAGCAGACTCCATCACAAGAAGTGTGTAAGCAGAAATCACAAGAGGTAGGTAGTTAGACTTTCTTTGTTAGGCGGTAGGTTAAACTCAATGACTATAGTAAATCACTGAAGAGAAAGAAGATGGAGAAAATGGGCAAGGGTGAGAGAAAATGGATGGCAAAAGGAAAGAACTGAAAGAAACATTTACTGAGGGCTCACCACACACCAGGCACTGTGTTTAATGCCTTACATATCTTAATTTACTCTTTTCTGTCATTTCCTAACGCACTAAGAGTTATCCTTGTGTTATAAGTGAGAAAGAGGAGACTGAGGAAGAGAGGTGAAATGACAGGTCCAGAGTCATCCAGCTAGTTCTCAAAGAAAATCTTGTACTCTCTTAGGAGTGAAAGAAAAGAAGTTTTATTGAGGAATAATACAACTCGAGCTGGGCAGTGCTAAGGAAAAATACAAAGCACTTGGACCATTCAAGTGAGAGAGGGGTCTATATACACAGAGAACAAAGGAAAGGTAGAGGGTTAATGATTGATTATAGATAAGATCAGCTTCAGCCTGAAGTCCATTGAAATGTAAAGGCAGGCCACTTTGCTAGGAGTGAGTGAGTTACCACCTTGGTGAGTTTGAAATTTTTCTATTTACACAGCTAATGGCAGAGCTATTGTGTTTTGCCCCAAAGCTTGTGCTCCCACTTCTGTTATCAGACAGAAAAGTGAAAGATACTGAAGAAAGACAAAGTAAATTTTGTTGTGGGTGAAGTTTATAAAAGGTACCTGTGGTAGGCAGAATAATGGCCTCTCAAAAAATTCCCAGAACTTTTGAATATGTTACTGTACATGGCAAAAGGGACTCTGCAGATGTGATTAAGAAATTTGAGACAGGAAGATTATCCTGGTGGGCCCTAAGTATAATCACAAGGGTCCTTATAAAGGAAAAAGGGAAGCAGGAGAGTCAGGATCAGAGTGATATAGCATGAAAAAGACTCGACTGGCCATTGCTGGCTTTAAAGATGGAAGGGGGCCACGAGCCAAGGAATGCAGGCTGCCTCTAGAAGTTGGAAGAGGCAAGGAAACAGATTCTTTCCTGCAGCCTCCAGAAGGAACGTCATCCAGACAACATCTTGATTTTAGTCCAGTGAGGTACATTTTGGGCTGCTGACCTCCAGAACTGTAAGATAATAAATTTATGTTGTTTTAAGCCATCAAGTTTGTGTAGTTTGTTAACGGCATCAATAAACTCAAAAAACCTACTGCCATGGAGTTGATTCCAACTCACAGCAACCCTAAAGGACAGAGTAGAACTGCCCCAGAGGGTTCACACGGCTATAATCTTTACGGAAGCAGAAGACTGCCACATCTTTCTCCCATGGAGTGGCTGGTGGGTTTGAACTGCCGACCTTTTGGTTTAGAGGCTGAACACTTTAACCACTGCACCACCAGGTTCCTCACAGCATCAATAGGATAGTAATATAGTAATTCTCAGCCATGTCCTTTCTTCCTTTAGTAGTAACTCCACCCTTTCTCATGTTCCCAGGGTCCTCATAAAACTTTTTTCTTTGTTTATTAACCAAATGTTTATGAAGATGTATGTCAGGGGCTGAAATAGGCTCTGGGAGGGATGAGGATACATAGATGAAAAAAAGATATGGTTACTGTCTGCCAAACAGAAAAAAGAGACTGGAAGAAATATGCCAAAATGTTAAACAATGATTAAGTCTAGATTATGGGTGGAATATGAGTGATAGCTATTCTTTTTTTATACTATATTTTTATTTTCAAAAATAAAAAAATTAAAAATCACTACATTGTGACATTGTAGTTAGAGCCATGTTCAATGTACTATGGGAGCACAGAGGAGGGAACCTTTCATTTGCCTGTGGGGGCTCCTTGAATATTTCTGAGAGAACATGCCATTTGAGTCCAAGGATGGATTTGCTAAGGGCAGGGGAGGGGAAGGATGTTGTTACTGGTAGAGGAGCAATTGTGTAGAGGCAGGAATGAAAGACCTTGTCCTGAGGGTAAGCATGAGACCATCCTTCCGTCTAAATGACTCATTGCTTCAGTGGATCAAACCCAAAGAATGAGCCTCTAGGCATTAAGGAATCTGTTTAGAGAACTTTTATGGGTGGTTGGATGAGGGGATTGAAACATTTTGGCAACCCTGAATCATATCAAGTAGTTGTGTACTTGGTGTCTGGGAACAAGTGCTTGTGAAATTTTGTTGGTTAGGGTTCAGCCTTTCCTGCTTTTCTCTCCTAGTGTTTCTTGCAGTACTGAGTTGAGCAGGGCCCCGTTTCCCAAACAGTTCCCCTGCATTTTGCCAGGGGGTTTGTTTCCTTTGTTGAGGGATGGGTGGGTAGCTCTGTTTTTTTCTTCTTCCTGTTTTCACTGGCAATTAGAAAAAGCCCCTTAAACAGTAGAGCGGCTCCTTTCTCTACTAACAGCCTCATAAAAGAGCCATCTAAATCTCTTCTTGTCTCCTCTACCCTCCAGACAGCCATGCCTTTTCCCGGCCCTCCTAGATCCTAGGAGACATAGAAGGCCAAGTAGAGGACTATGTGAAGGAAAAAAACAAACACAGCGTGGTAAGAACACTTGTAATTGCCTCTGTTTTCTTAAAGTATGTGTTCCTTTCTCCCCTCCTGCCTTTGCACCCTAATATTTTATGGCCAAGTCCCGATCCCTGTGTACAAAGAAACTGGTTTCCTAGCTCCCACTACAGTTTTGTTCCACCCGCTAAGACAATGGGCCAATTTTTTTCTAAAGTCAAAGGCCCTTGTGTTTGGCCTCAGGAGTTCCACCCTGAACTGGTGCCAAAGCTCCCGCTTTCCTGTTGTGTTCCTTCCAGGTCATCTTGGAATCCCCAGGCTTGCGGGGTGGGTAGGGGGTCCAGGGAAAGGAGTGGGAAGATTTTGGGAATCTCATAGTTGTGCTTGGGTGAGTCTTCCAGGCCTACTGGCAGAAGCAGCAGAGTTGTAGGCCAGGAGACCTGGGTTCTAGTCCCGGTGATGAGCTCTGATTTTCAACCAGTCGATTTGCTTCTCTAGGTCTTAACTTTGCCTTCTGCAAAAGGAGGATATTTGACTAGAGGAACTCAAGCCCTACAGCTTGACTCCTCTGGCCTTGCTTTTACTTTCCTCTTCCTCACTGAAATCTGTTTCATCTCTTCAGGGCCCAAGGATCCACACCATCAGATAAAATCAATTTGGCTAATGTCCATACACAACGGCACTATCTCTCAGGCATCATGTACCTTTTGAGGACAATAGTCTCAGTTGACTGGCCTTTTAGGCTAGCATGGAGTGGGCGGATATTCTGGTCTTATTTTGGGACTCTTTTTAGTAGCAGGAGAGGGGGGGCTCCTGCCAGACTGTGAAAGTCTTGACAACCAGCCTAAGGAGTTTGGACACTAGTGAGCAGGGAACCATCAAAGCCTTTTAAGCAGGAAGTGGCCTGGTCTTTTAAGCAGGAAATAGCCCGGTCAGATCTGTTTTAGGACATATACTCTGGCAGCTGGTTTGTTGGGAGAACTGTGGCTGTGGATAATCCAGATGAGAGACTGAGATCTGAACTGTAGTGGCAGAAACAAAAACAGACAAACAAAAAAACCTGTTGCCGTCGAGTTGATTCCAAATCATAGCTACCTTATAGGACAGAGTAGAACTGCCCCATAGGGTTTCCAAAGAGTAGCTGGTGCTTTTGAACTGCTGACCTTTGAGTTAGCAGCCGAGGTCTTAACTACTAAGCCACCAGGGCTCCAGGGTGTGGGGAACAGGGAACAGGGGAGAGCCATTGAGGAAGAGATGGCGGGTCCTGGTGAATGACTGGAGAGGAGGGGTGGCTAGGAGAGGGGCTTGAAGATGACTCAGATCTGTGTCTAGTTTGGGCTCTTGAGTGGGTTAGATGCCATTACCCTTGAGATAAGGCATGGATAAGGGATAGGCTGGGTAGGGACTGAGATGCTAAACTCAACTTTGGATATGGCTAGATGAGATGCCTATGGACTGTCCAGGTGGGCATAATGGATGGGCCGTGGGAGACACACAGATGAAGCTCTAGAGGCTGGAGCTGGAGCGAGGGAGTGGTGGAGGCCAAGGTGGAGAATAGAGAGTGAGGGAGCCTGAAGAGTCTCTGCCTCTGTCAGTGCTTCAGTGCTGTGTGGCTGGTCTCCTCCATCACATGGCCCATGGCTGTGTTCTACTTTGGATCAATCGCCTCGTTGGTCAGAGTGATTTTTCAGAGTTTCATCCAGATAGATATTCTTAGCCTGGGGGTCACATATTAACTGCCTATAGTCTTTTAGAAAATGGGGGCTGTGAATCGATCAGGGGAAAGGAGGAAAGGGGAGAAGTGTGGAAAGGAAGAACTTTTGGAAAAGGATAATAGGAAAAGGCAGGCATATCAAAACACATACTACAGAACAATTTAACATTCATTACAAACCATAAAAGCACAATGTAAATGTGAAGTTCTGTTGAGAACATGTCTACAGGTCAGAAGAGGACATGAAGCTAGGAGGGCAAAGGGGAAGAATAACTCAGAAGGATTAAGCTAAAAGTTAGGCTACTAGATCTACAAATCTCCTTGGAAGGTATGCTATAGCTCAGAAATCACTTGGCCTGTTCAGTCTCTTGGGATTAATGAGTTCCTTATATATATTATTGCTATATAAAATACTAGTACAATTACTAGCTGTTATGGATTGAATTGTATCCCTTAAAAATATGTATCAATTTGGCTACGCTATGATTTCCATTATATTGTTTTGATTGCCCACCATTTTGTCATCTGATGTGATTTTCTTGTGTTGTTACCAAGCAAGTAGTGCCAGGAGCAGAGTGCTTCCTTTGGACCCGGGATCCCTGTGCGGAGAAGCTCCTAGACCAAGCAAAGATTGATAAGAAGTACTTTTCTCCAGAGCCAACAGAGAGAGAAAGCCTTCCCCTGGAGCTGGCGCCCTGAATTCAGCCTTCTAGCCTACTAGACGCTGAGAGAATAAATTTGTTTGTTAAAGCCATCCACTTGTGGTATTTCTGCTATGGCAGCACTAATAACTAAGACACTAGCCAACAATTTTGTGTGCCAGTTATATGCCAGGCAGTGTGCTGAGCGCTTTAACTAGATTATCTCATTTGATCCTCACAACAGCATGAAAGGTGGGTGCTTTTACTAGCTCCATTTTACAGATGACAGAACTGAGGTACAGTCATTTGTGAGGGGCCTTGCCGTTCGTGTGCTGGAGTTAGAATTTGAAGCCAGGCTGCCAGGGGTACTTTAGAGCATGTGCTCTTAGCCACTCAGCAGTCCACTGTAGTTCACATTCATCTTTTTTTGTCTTACAATAAGATATAGATAATATTCAGTTTCAGGTATGGAAAGTGTGATGGAAGGATTCCCATGTCAACAGTAGGAAGATTAGGGGAAGAGATAAGGTAGGGTTTCTCAGAGAGTGGCCATCAGACTGTCTGCATTACATTATCTGAGATATTTGTTAACAATTGAGATCTCTAGGCCTTACCTTAGACACCTGAAAGCAGAATTTCTCAAACACTGATATTTGAGACTCCCTGAGTTGGAGCTGGATGTCTGGGTTCTGGAAGGCAATGGAATCATGGCTTCTCCAGCCACCCACAGTTTGAGACTTATTCTTGTGTGAAGTCAACAGTGTAGTCTGATCTCTCTTTTTCTGGGCTATCGGAGGGATGGGGTGGAGGGACCGAGGATGAATGAACTCATGCTGGCGTTTGTGCTAGAGCGGGCATTTGAGGCAGCACCTTGTGTGTTCACATTTTCCTTTCACCCTTCATTTGCTTCTCTACCCTCTTATACTCTCTCCTCGCCCCCTCCCCCTCTGGGATGTCTCACTACCTGCCACTTCCACTACTCTGCCTGCCCCCTGGGGCTGCTTACCATCTGGTGCTTGGTGGGGCTTGAGCACTGGGAGAGGAGCAGTCACACCGTGGCTCCTCTTAGGCCTGGCAGTGCTTGCCCTGCCTCGCTCGATGTGGAGGTGAAGGTTTACATGAAGTTAAGCTGCTTCCACCTTGGTCTGTTCAGGAGTGGGGACATGCTGCAGTCAGTGGGTGGAGGGGACAGTGGAGTTGCAGCCTGGGATGTAAAGTGGGAATCCTCTCACACACAGCAGCGGTCTGCACGATTTGGCATCTTTTCTGAGTTGGAGGATTAATCTCTTTGAGGGCCCCAAACCAGGCCATGCCAATAAGCAGGAGGAAATATGAGTCTTTCTCCCTCCATCTCATCCACTAGCAAGTTTGGAGGGCTGATCCAGTTACACCCCTAACTTGAGTGAAGGCAATGGAGGGTTTTATGCAATTCACTCTGGCCGACATTCACACACTCTGGCCTCAGGGAGATTCAGAGGCAGTGAGTAGGGCCCTGGGCTGGGAGTGAGGAAGTCTGGTTCTGTGTTAGCTAAGCTACCAACTTCCTGTTACTGTGAGAAAGTTACTCACCCACTCTGGACTTGAGTTTTCTTATCTGTAAATTTTTGGAGTGGAGTGAGATCATCTTTTAGGTTCCTTCTAGCTCTCAAGTTCCGATTCTCTGATTAGTAGTAGGGAGGCAGGGGCAGGTGTGACTGAGGCCTGACTGCTCCTTTTTATGTCACATGTGCCTGTGAATTCTAGCTGTGCCTCTTCACGAACAGCTCCGTGTTTAAGTGGGCTGATGATGCCCTCTGTGGTGTGGTCAGGAGAGTCTTGGAGTCGGGAGCCCACCTTGAGATGGTTCACATTTTGGTATTGACATAGCTTCCCTTCCTGTTCTCTCATCTCCTCCAGAACTTAGTCCTGAGTTTCCTGAGAGGGCTGTGATAGTTTGGATAACTTTCCTGGCTGTTTCCTGCCTGGCGTTCCCTGAAACAAATAGCAGGAAATCCTTTTCATGGCCATCAGGTCTCTGTTTCATGCTTTCCCTTCCCCCATAGAACCCAATAGAATACACAGCATACAGAGAGACACATGAGCGTGCTCTAGCTCCCAGCACTGGAACACACAGCGCACAGAGAGACACGTGTGTGAGCTCTAGCTGCCAGCATTCATATATGGGAAGGGTGGGGTGGGGTTATATTCTTATGTACTGGTTAGTATTGTCTGGGGAGCATACGGAACATGAGAACCTATAGTGGTATCCTAATGTCTTGTACGTCACTACCACCCAAGGGTTTGGGGGTGGGTGCTGGGGGCGTGCATGAGTGTGTGGGTGTGAGTGTGTGGGGCAGAGTGTGCTGGTTGTGTTCTGAGAGGAGGTGATTCAGGAACTGGGTTGCTGTCTTTAATGCTTCAGTTTTTTTTTTTTTTTTTTTTTTGCCAATGTACTAGTAACTCAACGAGATGGATTAACACAGTGGCTGCAATGATGGGCTCAAGCGTAACAGTGATTGTGAGGATGATGCAGGATGAGCCAGAGTTTCATTTTGCTGTACATAGGTTCTCTATGAGTCAAAGCTGACTCAATGGCACCTAACAACAACAACAACTAGTGATTTGTGTGGTCAGAGGGCCGAATAAACAAGATGTTAAACATTTCCTTAATCCAGACTGAAATCCACCTGAGTGTTTTATTCTCGGAAGGGTGTGTAATCTGTGAGAGGTAGAAGATGAAACACCTAGACCTTCCTGAACAGCCAGTCTGAGGTCAGTTTTCAGAAAGTACGTGTTGATTGTTAAGCCATCTCCAACTTGGGTTTTACGAATAGGACCCAGAGGACTTGAGAGTTTCTATGGCAGAAGTATCATTCTATTGTGGAAAGATTAGAGACAAGTTGTCAAGCAGGAAACTGGTCAGATTAGTGATTTATTTCTAGCCAATATTTAGGCATTCTGACTTTTAAAAACAATTCAGTTTCACTGATATTTGTCAAGTACCTACCAAATGCCAAGTGTTGCGTTTTCAAAGGTGAATGAAACACAGTTACTATCCTCAGGAGCTAATAACATTTTTTCTTGAACAAGGCATTCTGGGTCCAATTCTCTCAGTACCCAACTTTGTCCCATTAGTAAGCCTTTGGGAACTCTCAGAACCAGACAGTTAAGCCAGCCTGTCGGGGGAGAGTAAGGCCGGAGTCTAACCCTTTGCTACTTTCGGACTCTCCCTTTCAGGAGCACAGCAACCATGGGGAGGTAGGAAACCAGGCTCCTTAGGAGACGCTGTGATAGGTAATGTGTGGGATGGTGACTCCGACTATCTCTCTGCTCCTCAAGAAACTAAGCACGCACTCAAGCACTACCAGAGATGAGAGTGAGTGCGAGTTGCCTGGGGGGCTGGTAGCGGAATTTGTTAGCTATCCTGAAGAACATTAGTAGTGAGATGGCAGGGCAGTTTGAGGCCCTGCAGAGTTGTCTTTAGGAAATCACCATTACTTCACTCTGTTCAGACCACGATGTTGGGCAGATGCTAAGGGTGGGGTAGGAAGAAAGATGTGCAAGAAATGCTCAGACCAACTGGTGCCAAAAACATTTTCTGAGGCTCCCTCCCACAGTAAACTCTAGTTCTCTCTGCTACACCAAGGCACCAAGGGAACATGGATGGGACTTCCCCTCCCTGTTTTCACTTGTTCTCAGGCTTCATGATGCCCTTTTGTGACTTCTTTTCCCCTTCAAGACTACTTTTGATGTTCCCCTTAGCTTGATGTCACTGTGTAAAGTCACTGGGCGAAGGGAGAGTGAAATTTTTCCTGACTCCACATTCTTAGGATTGGCTTTGGGCCCTGCACATTCCCACTTTTCCAGGGTGACCCTGGGGATCATTCTCTATCCTATTGTAGTTTTTTGATCAGAGAGAGAGACATACAGAGTCTCCCAGCACTGGGGTGTGTCAGATTTTTAGGTGCCTTTGGATGGAGTCAGCCAGATCAGACCTGAATTTAAATCTGTGCTTTGCCGTTTATTAACTGTGTGACCCTTGGCAAGTGACTTAAGTGCTCTAAGACTCAGTTGCTACATCTGTAAAATGGAGATGATGCCTACATAATAGTTACAATAGCTAACACATATCGAGCACTTTACGCTTATTAATTCAATTAACTCTCGTACAGCTCTAGGGATTAGGTGCTATTATAGTTGTCATTTTTAGATGAAGAAATTAAGGTGCAAAGAAATTCAGTAGCATGCCAAAGTTAACATGACTTGTATGTGACAGAGCTGGGAATCTGAACTTGGACAGCCTAACCCTAGAGTCTGTGTCCTTAACAACTCTGCCAGACTGTGCCCTTCACAGAATATTAACAAGGATTAATTGAGATAAATCAGCTGAAGCATGAGGTATAGTTGCTGGCACACAGTAGCTATTACTATCAGAGCAGAGAAGCCTGATTTCCAAGACTTGCTTCCATATGGGCATGTGGAAGAAGTGGCCCTGGATCAGGGTGAGGCAGAAGAGAGACGTGTCCTCCTGCTGACCTGGAGTTTGCAAGGTGTCAGGGCTTCTTCCAACCCCGCTCTGTTAGGCAGGGTTTATTGGCAAAAGTTTTGTCCCTGCAATCCTAAAGTTGCCTGACAGGCTCCGAAAGGACAACACGGGATCTGAAAGTGGCGGCCATAGCAAGAGGCTGTGAGAGGCTAAGGGACCTGCATTCTCGTCATGGCTCTGCCATGAATAAACTTCAGGCAGTTTTTTCATCTTCTCTGAGCTTCAGTTTTCTCATTTGTGAGAATGTTGGGAGGAACAAATGAAACAACATATACACAAAGCACCTAGAACAGCAACTAACATAACATCCTGTAAAAAAAAAACAAATCTGTTGTGTCGAGTAGATTCTGACCCACAGCAACCCTATAGGACAGAGTAGAACTGCCCATAGAGTTTTCCAAGGAGCGGCTGGTGGATTTGAACTGCTGACCTTGTGGTTAGCAGCTGAGCTCTTAACCACTGCACCACCAGGGCTCCTAATATACCATAGGCCCTCAGTAAATGTTCACAGTCACGGTTAGGTGCAATGGGGGAATGTGGAGAAATACAAAATACAATCCTTTGTCTTTAAAGAGGACATAGTCTAGGTAGGGTGAAAAGTAATAAGACAGGTAAACATATAAATCACTTTCACATTTGGTTTGTAGGACTGCATATGACGTAACATAAGCCAAGTGACATGGATAGGGAGGGCTTTGGGAGTTCAGAGGTAGGAGAGCTGCCTTATGGGCTAAGCTGGTCAGGGAAGGCTTCCTGAACAAGTGAACTTTGCAAATGTTGGAGAGGAAGGTGGAGGGGCATTCCAGGAGTACATTCAGAGATGAGGGCTAGTAGTATAGGGGATGTGCTCAGGGGATAGAGAAGAAACCAGTTGCTTTGAAACCAAGGGTTTGTGTGGGAAACTAGAGGGAGATGAGGTTCAATAGGAACTTGGGGCCAGGTTGTGAAGGACTTTGAATGTCACACAAAGGAGTTTGGAGTTTATCTGCAAGTTTTTTGAGGAGGGGAGTGACATTAATATTATGACCTTGATTTGGCCACTTATTCTTTTAACCTCGCTGGGCCTTAAATCCCTCATCTATGAAGTAAG